ACAAATAAAGAGGCGGGAGGGGGCGTGACCTTACACAAAAGTGAATTTATTTAGTTTATTTGCAGCATATCAGCAGCCATAACTGTCAAGTGAATGTAACTCCCTCTCTCTCTTTATGTTTGTTTTTCCCCAGTTTTTCTTTCATTCCATTTTGTTGTTGTATTTTGTTTACCAAGGGAGCATGACACAAAGTGGGGTTAAACTGGAAATGGTGGGGGTGGAAAGGGGGTGTGGATAAGGGGTGGCGCCTCATATATGAGGGGTGCAAGATCTAGAGCGGCCATCATCATCAATCATTTTGATTTGCGCTAAAAACTATGCTATGCTTTGTTACTACAATTCTGCATTGCATAAGACAACAAAAAAACATAGCAAACGTCAACACAACTACACTTAAGGGAAATAAAATATTATATTAAATGGTTATTAAATTATTATAATAAATATTTTTGGGATAATAATATTATATTAAATAGTTATCAGATTATTTGAATAAATATTTTTATGATAGGGCAATATATTTTCTAAGGCTTTATGGTGTTTAATTTAATTTGTGGATTGAAGATGTATTGAAGATAAAGAAATTAATTTAAGAACTGTAAGTTGTGAATGTGTTTTGTAAGTATTTTTTTGTGAATTTATTCTTTATACATTTTTCAATTAGGAATTTATAACTTAGCTTCCCTTGGTTTTTGCTTCTATTATTGAAAGCCTCCTCATTGCCTGCTGATTCATTGATGAACTGTGTAAATAATTGTGTAAATAATCTCTTAAAGCTTACAAATTTTCTCAAAGTGTAATCTCACACACAGCAAAGACGATAAACTACAGTAGCAACAACAAGAAGGGCAATTGCCAGACAGAATGACAACAACAATTCATGTCGACAAGTTGCACTGGCATTTCATTCTTTTTGCAGCTATTTCGGTGTTTCTTTTTTTTTTTTGTTGTAACTCACTTGGCAGTACTTTATTTTTTTAGGTACTTTTGCATAATATTTTGAGGAAAGAAGTGGGGTTCCGAGGAACAGGACGAGGCGGTACTATATGCATGCATTAGGCGAACATTAATGGAGAAGAAGTATTTTTAGTACTCGCTCGTAAAACTGCTTGTCAAATATTTTGTGCTGCATTTTAAACATATCGCTTTGGGGTGTCCTTACTCCTTCTTTTTTGGGTGGGGGGCTTACTTGCCAGGCAAGCGTCATCCCTCAGCAAGGGAATATATATGAGAGAGACATAATGAAATTTTAATTAAGCTCAAGCAGCAAGCAGAATTAAAAGACGAAATGTGCGCCTTTTAATTCAATTTATAATTACACTCAGCAGTAGCGGCTGGGCTTGCCTTCAGAGCACACCGTCTTCTTTTGCCCTGCTTTCCAGCTTTACCCAATGTTTTCCCAGCTTTTCCCCTGCTTTCCCCTGCTTTACCCAGCTTTCCCCGGTTCGGTCGCATTCGCATCGCTGCGAATCAATTAAAAAGACATTTGCGAAAATGTTGCCAAGGCAAATTGAAACTGAAACGACAACACGAATGCTTAAATGAGCGAATAAACGAAGATGAGACTGTGACGAGTGAGTGAGTGAGAGAGTGTGGTGGCAAGGATGCCAAGGATGCGAATGAATGCATAAATGAATGCCACATTGCACGAATGAATGATGATTGTCCCACTGATGACGATGACGATGATATTGTAGATGCTGGATGATGATGATGATGGCGGTACAAGTGTGAATTGGACTGTGCGTCTCAAGACGCTGACGTCCACACTCCGTAGCCCAGTTCTTCCCAATCCCGTAACGTCTGCGTCGTTAATGTAATTCAATAACCCGCATCTGGCCATAGCCGCGTTGATTGTTTCATCGTGCAATGCCAGGGCGTCTTGGAATATATGTATATTCCATTAATAATTGCCAGTGCCAAATATGCGAGCAGCATCGAGAGTAAGTACTTCAAAAATATTCAGTTTAAAGAGCAACTTGTTGTCAATTGTCAATATGACACTGATACGTATAAAAGTATAGCTTATAAAAATCAACAAGTTTAAGCTAATAGTTTAATATATTTTTCAGAATTATCAGGGTCAATTTAGGCACCTTTCTTAATATTAAAAAAATTTGTTGGTATTTCTTACCATTATATTCTTGTTTTGAGCAAAATTCATTAAAGGAGTCATATCCGACCCTATAAATCATATATATTCTTAATCAGCATCAATATGCGAATCTTTTTAGCCATCTCTGGCCGAAAAAAAATTTTTTTTTCAGATATTTCCCGTTTTTTAAAGAAAAGGAAAGTGGTTACATCATGAAAATTTTAAAAATCGGCCAAAAATTCACATTTTAAATGGAGTATGCAGTTTTAATGCATTTTTGGCGGAGTTATGAAAGAATTACGATTTCTCGATCCCAAAATCATAATATTTAGTATAAAAAAGTTTTCCATAAAAACAAATTAATAATGTATATATGTCGTATTTTATAATACCTAATTAATAATAATTATGATAAAAAATTATTTGCCATTACTTTAAATATAGTTTACTATTTACTTAGCTCAAAAAATATTTGTGTAAAAGTATTTTGTTCTTAGTATTTTATTAAAAATTTTGTCAGTTACGCCAAATTCCGTATAATTTTGTTGTAAGCTTCTACTATATAAATTCTAATTCTATATACTTTACTTATCGATAGGGAACATCGTCGCATAACTGCTGGGTGCAACATGCATCTGCTCCATTCATTCATTCATACATATGTGTGTGCCATTTATGAACATAATCCCCATGTGACATCCACTTTGCCGTTGCTTCCCCGTTCCCCTTGCAGTCTTCTAGCTCGAAACCCCTTGGCAAACAAACATAAATCAAAAAACTCAACGTAAAACCTTCAAAACGTTCAATATGAGAGAATGCCTTGGATTGTGGCCCAAAACTGAAATTCCGCAAACCATTTCTCATTTCTCGGTGCTCGGTGCTCGGTGCTCAAAGCGATTCAGATTGGGAACTGGGATTCCCCCTTTGGACATCCCTCCAATTGCACTAATCTCGTGCCATGCAGCTCCCTCTTTTCGCATTTGCTGAGAGAAACTTTCTAATAATTTCTATTTGAAAGCCCCGGCCAAAAGTTGTGCGTGGTGTGCAAAACTGTCATAATTCATAAGTCGCCATCGCCCCAACCGCCCACAGACTCAAACCGAGCTGAAACTGAAACTGAAACTGAGACGGAGACGGAGACTTGGTTGTCTTCCCCCCTTGGCTGTCTGTGTATAATTACATGGTTCAACTGTCACGGCGGAAAACAAATAAATGAGTTTCGTTTCAGCTAAAAACTTTGCCATCATCATCATCGTCGGGGAACCATCTGCCCCACCAACCTCTCCCCTTTCAGGCGTTTGCTTTATGCAATTTTTTCGGTCATCGATCCGAAAATGGCAGATGCATTCGCATAAAAAAAGAAAGAAATAAATCCGAATTCAGACTGACCCACTCATCAATCAATATCAATCCATGTAAATTTTCTAAAAAGCGAATCAATATAAATGCCAGGACACCTGCCAGGACTGCTGCTTGGGGATCCAACAAAAAAAAAAATAAATTAATTCAGATTGCAATTCCTTTGAATTATACGCATCAGCAAACTATGATTTCTCATGAAATATTAATGCCGGCATGCGACATTTGATATTTGGCAATGTGCGCTTTTGTTTTTTTTTGTAATACATATATATATAGATATATATATATATATTCCAACCAACCGACAGCAATTCCGACACTATCCTGGGAGAGAGCAAGAGACAGAGAGGAGGAAGCCATCATGACCAACTTCGTTATCATTGTCAACATGCCATTGAGTCCCGGAGTTCGAGATGGGGGTTCCCCTCACTGTCTCTCTCTCTCTCTCTCTCTCTCTGTGTGTGAGTCCCAGGACCCGGATTCTCGATTCTCAATGCTCGATGCTTGATGCTCGTCGTAGTCCTTCGCTTTCGCCTCCGCATAATCAGAGCAATTTCAAAGTTGCGTCTGTCAGAAAGGCACAAAATGTGGCATCGTTTGGTTTTCAGTCCCAAACCAACTAGGCATCGCCTTGCTTCAGAATGCCACCCAGTTTTTCCCACCCATTTTCCCCCATCTTTCACTCTCTCACTCTCTCTCTTGTTCGTTCTCCTTTTTTTGGTGGCTTTTTTGTTGGCACTTCCTTTTTGACACCGGCGTTCCGCTACGTTTCACGGCTGCCATTTCACCTGGCTTCACCTGGGCGTCCCAATGCTCCGTTCCCTTTCGTCCTTTTGCCATGTCTATCAATGCCGGGGCGATTGTCCTGGCTGCCGCTTGTCAGCCGGAAAATGTGAATTTATCACACGAGCACGTACGCATATTCCTCGTCCGCGTCCAAGTCCGCGTTCACGTCCCTTTTTTCCTTTTTCCACTTCTTTTTTTTTTTTGGCGCCGGATGAGTGGGTGTCGCAATTGACCCAAGCCACTCGCCCAGATTAGTTAATATTCACATTTGAATATGACCAGCGAGCGGGCAAGGTGAGCCCGGGTCAACTCTGGGTCGCTTATCTGGACTGAAGCACACGGAAATTCCGCCGAATTCCGTCGAGTTCCGTCGAATTCCGTTGAATTCCGGCCAGAGTCTCACTCTCTCTCTGTCTCTCTGGAAGCCTCTCAAACAGTGGGGAAAATCGCAGCAGCAGCAGCAGGACAAGGAGCATCTCCAGCGACGAGCGACAGAATGTCTTAATTGCATCCTGCTGCTGGCAAATTCACTTCTGCCACTTTTGCCACAATTAAGAGCCAATTTCTGTGCGAGACGTTGCCCAAAGGGGGTTTTCTAATCAGCGCGACAGGCGGTTGTCGCGGTTGTCGGCCGCCTTTTCGCATCCTTTTTTGCCTTTTTGGCATCTCTCTCCTTTTGTTTCCGCCATCGCCACAGAGTTTCAAAAACGGAAGATACACTGCCAAAGAGTATGCTCCTCTACTGGTTAATCAAAAATTTATTTCTGTCAGAGAGCAAAGAAAGGTAAAAAAAACCATAAAAACGCAACAAGAAAACCTCTTCTTTTAAGATCAATTTTTAGTGTGAGGAAATGCCAGGAATTTCTAGTTCTAGATCAACAGGGGATCACTTTCATCGGCCAGGCAATTCGTATTCGGAGAACTTTCCCGCTGGAAATGCGGTAAATAGTCATAGGAGTTCTCAAAGCGTAAAAGGCGACGAGAACTTGGACATGGACTGGAATTGCGACTGGGACTGAACAGAGCCTGTTGTTCCTCTCTACCAATTTGCATTGGTCCCTGCATTTGAAATATTTGGCATTGAGATGTCGGTATGGGTAGCCAGATGTGATGACGCGTCTGCAGGACATCCCGGCCATGCATCCTGTTTGCCCGGCATATCAAGCCAATGCTGGTATTGTATTTAAGGGCCAGCCCGGCCATTGTATCTTCACGGGAGATCGTATGCCGGTGCCAGCCCACCGATCCGCCCAGATGAAGGCCACGAACATTGGGTCCATTGGACTCCTGTTCATCACTCATGGTGTTTTCAGAACGAATGATTTGTTTTTTAAATACTTTGGATGTAGTATAGATTTATCTATTATATATGGTTTATATGGAAGCAATTTTGACATTAAAAGAAAATTATATCCAAAACCCCTTTGTTGTGGAATTTTCTCAGGATTGGTTAAGGATTATTTCATTATATTCTGTTGCTTCAATGGTTTTTGGGCTACAGAATTCAGGGATTGGGGATATGAGTCCATTCGCAGCTCCTTTGATGCCGATCATCTGTGTCATCCCGAATCTGTCTGTCTGCGAACCTCCGATTCGCGGTTTATGCAAATTACTTGGCATACATTTCGGCGCGTGTGCGTGTGCGTGTGCGTCGTAATCAACTCAGTGCACGGTGTTCCAAGGGGGGGAGACAACACTGCGTATACGTAATCAACTCAGAGCAGAGCGAAGAGAGAGCGTGTGTGAGCGCATAATATGGCCATAGCAGGGCAATACTCCATCCATCCACACATCTCTTCAGCGTTCGGGTCAGCCACAAAGGTGTCGTCATCCCTGCTGAAACAGCGGAGAGTCCTCAGTCCTCGGTCCTCCGTCCTCGGTCCTCAGTCCTCGGTCCTTGTCCTGTTTTTTTTTCCCCCCCCCGACTCCCAAAGCCTTAAGCTGCCTGCTTATAATCCTTCTCTCATTCCCGCCGGAGTAATGCAGAGTTGTTGTACAGAAAACCCAGAGTAATTTACGGATTAGTCATGGACTTGTTTAATGCGCTTGCCGATTGCCAATTGAGTGGGCAGTCAGAGAGTTGTTTATTTATTAATAAATGTATATTAATAAATATAAGGATATACAAACGGTATAATAATCTCTGATTTATATGCTCAGCAAGTATATTATTCAATAAATAAAATATACTTGTATATTTCCTACAGCATTTTTAAGGAATATATATTATTTCCTTTAACAATTTGTTTCCCATGCTAGATAAAAAAAAAAACACAAATATATTTCAGACCCTTGACTGCGCCACTGAACCTGTTCACTTCCGTTTCCAATTGGATTTGTTTACTTTGCCTTAGAGGAGGCTCAATTCGATTTGCAGGAGCAACGAGGCACAACCCCTTGTATTATATTATTACAACCAGAGACAGAGTTACCCCTCTGGCAGATATTCATTCGCCTGCCAACGGCTTCATTTGCCAGTCATAAAATATGCGAAATTGATATGAATGACAGACAGAGATGAAGTCGGAGTTGGGCAGGAAAAGGAAAAGGATTCACTCCCCCAACCCCCCAAGGAGGGAGAGAGTATCGGATTTCTTCTGGTACGGGGTAATCTAGTGTGAAGTCATTTGACTGTGCGAATTTAATATGGGATTAAACGATGCAGGGGGATATATATTTATATATATTTTGTACTTTCTTTGTTGGTTTTTCTCTCTCGAAGATTGAGGATTTAGGTTTTGTTGAATAAATACATTTTAGCTGGATGCCAGCTTATATACTACAAAAATATTATAAAGAAGACTAGTTGTATAATCTCCTACAAAAAAATAATAAAATAAAATACCTAACTAGCCCATCTGTTGCTCAGCTGGAGATGTACAAGATAAAGTATACAAAAAAATATATATTAGAAATAGAAACCGAGACCATAAACCCAAAAAACAGCGGCCAGGACATCAATCAAATGGCCGCATGTCCTTTGGCCATTTAATTTCGCATTTGTGCCATTTATTTTATGGCAGCAATGGCACATTTCTGGTCCTAATTAGCCGGGAATTCGTTTGGCAACTTGTCCTCTCGTCATGGTTTTGCCAGTGACCCAGGACCATCAACAGGGGCATTTGTAAATTAACAATGATTTATTTCGAAATTGTTTTGCTCACACATACAATTTAATGAAAACATATAGAGGGTATTTAAGGAGGATTTAAAAAATGTTTCAAGGACTTTATTTAATTAAGCAGGATCCCACTCAACATGTTCTATTATTATGTTGTAATAATTAATGGGGATTTATTTGCTGGCCTTGATTTATATAGAACGTTTGATTAATATTTCATTGAATTTGAAGCAAGGTATCTTTAATTTGTTTTAATTAAAATTAATAGTTATTATTCTGGCTCCGCTAATATGTATTCCCCTTAGCGTAACCTTTAAACTTTCCCACTTAATCTCTGACTCGTAATCTATTAAGCTTTTCAATTTTGACCCGCCAGATTCCAGGTGTGTGCACACCACCAAAAACCTGGTTAAACATCCGCATCCTTCTACCACCTTCTCTACACCTCCATCCCTCGTCATACACACACACCCACGTCACAACCACACACGACAAGGGCGATGATGTCTCCATCATCCGTTGGCCAAAAGGAAGCGTTCCAGCAAGTTTAAGCAGCTTAAGTTTCATTGCAACAATAATTTGCGTGCGGGAGTTCGGTAGATAGCTACCATTCGGTAGATTCACAGGTGTTTTCACATCCCTAAAACCACTTCAAAAAATTCTAAAATATATATAATACCTAAACATTTAAAAAAATATTTGAAGGGATATCTATTTTTAATATATTATAGTAGGTAGTAGTATAGTAGGTATTAATATTGATCTCAAAATTAGCTAAAGTTGTAGCCAAAAATGTTTTAGTATATAAATTAATATTAATTTATATCAAACTGTTTCCTAGAAATTATCAAGTCTTCTGTCTGATAAAAAGCAAGTTATAAATGTAAAAAAAAATCTAACCAACTGATAGCTCTCCAAGAATAAACCCCCCGACTTCTTTCAGTGCCTTTGGCCGCAAAATGTTCGCCACTCTTGTAATAAGCATGGCGCACAAGGACATCCCGGTGAGATATGGGTGGCTAGAGCTTGATGGTTTTGGTACTGGTTCTGGTTCTCGGTGCGGGGGTTGGCTCTCTGGCCAAAGTTGGCCAGAATGTTAACTTGTCTGCACGTTTCGTTTTGTCGCCAGTGAAGCGACTAGATAGGGCGGGACATGTAATTGGGTTTTCACCTGATTCAACATGCGCCAAAATGTCAAAGTGCACCGCAAGTTTCCTCGTCTATTTCCAGTTGCAGCTTCTCTTACGCTCCTGATTCCGTTTTTGGATTCGGATTCGGATATGGCTCTCTACTATATACATATATATACCCTCTGAACTCTTCCTTCCCCCGATATAGTGACAGTGAAAACAGGCAACGCAGGATAAGGCCAAGGAATTGTAAAGTCTCTCCACCTGGAAGTCAACGTTTTGTGAGATTTAAGGCAGGAGAAGCCTTGAAGCTCTTACCAATTAGAGGCAGTTACTTAATAAATTTATTAAATAAGAATAATGAGCATTTGGCAGTGACCACTGTAGCCGGAAAATCCAGCTTGGCGCTGTTCAGGTGCAAATCCCCAAACCGTCGCGGATTGAATGTTTCGCTTGCATTATTTTCGATGCAACATATCGTTGCATACATGACTAGCACTGCCACAACGACTATACATATGCATATATGCAAATGCGAATGCACAAACATAAACATATCTGTATCCACTAAATATCCCAGCTGAATGGCGGCTGTAATCGCTTTCTGGCATTTCCATTGCAACTGGGCATTATGGATGCAACAATGCGCTAATTAGGCGTCGATTTCTAAATACCGGCGCTAATGCAAAATGCTAAATGCTAAATGCTAAATGCTAATGCCAGTGCCGGTCGTCGGCATATTGGTTTAGATATTGGTGGGAATAACGCCGGATGCAGAACCACCAGTGATGGCAGAAGCTATCTTAGAAATGTGACCAAGTCACCTCCCTACCAATAAATAACTTTCTAAGCCTGTTTAAATGAAGTTAACTTAATTTCCTAAATTGCCAAAAATATCTCATTAATAAAATCCTTTTTCCATTACCAAAAAAAGAAAGCCCCATCTCCTCTCTAGTTGGGACTTAAAAAGATTCATTCATTCATTCAATTCGATTGGGTTTTCACCGGTGGGCTAAATATTTCGGGCTAATTAAATGTCATAATTCCGGCGTTTTGTTAACGGCTTTTGGCCATTGTTTGTAGCTCGTTTGTCGGACTTTTGGCCACTGCAAAGTTATAGATTTTACCAGTTGCTAAGCTTGCTCCAAATATGGTTTAAATGTGGGAAAATCAAAAACAGAAACGTATCTCTTCCTTTGTTCTTTGATTTGGTAAAGTTACCGTAATTTGACGACCTATTCTGACTATGCTTTCCTGAATCCAAGAGTCCTGCAGCTTGAATCCTGGAATGCTGTCTTCGATTTGTGGCCCTCTCCTGGTGGAGAGCTCAACTCAAGTGGCTGGGAATTTCTTTGGGGCGTGGCCAGAGATCCCAAAACTACACCAAAACCTAGGGCTTTTACTCACACACTCAGTTTCAGCAGATGCTCGTTATTTATACACTTGGAAAATATAGATGGAAATAAGATAAATTTATAGAGAAAATTGGAGAAAACCCAATAAAATAATAAAACTAATTTTAAATCATTTTTATTTTAACTTTAAGAGTGATTAGGAAAAAATATATATAAACTTTGACTTGTGGGATAATAATTTAAAAAAAGAAGGAAAACTAACTTTGGGAAGGCAAAGTTTATATATCTTTAACTCTGAACAGTAAGTATAAATGAACATTAAGTAACTATAATCAGTAAGTATCTATGACTAGTAATTAACTATGACCAGTAATTAATTATTAGCAGTTATTAATTATGAGCAGTAAGTATCAATGAAAATTAAGTACCTCTGAATAGTAAGTATCTATGATCAGTAAGTATGTATGTATAATCAGTTACTAACTTTAAACACTAATAAACAATGACTTGCAACTTTTGTAACACAACACATATCTCAGACGTGGCCGGCAGCAGTCACTTCGTTCCGGGGATGTTAGAACCATTTGGGAATCATATGCATGTGCGAGATTTGTTTTGAAACAAATTCAAGAGCAAAGTATTGGAATGAAACTATGAGGTTATTCTTCTATATTATTTTACTAGTATATGAGTCGGAGCATGATGAATCGGTGAACTATATATATACATATGTAATATGCAATAGGAACGATCGGAAAATTGTAGGA